CTCGGATCTAACACTCACTGCGGAATGGGCCCTGAATGTCCGAACCAGTGCACCCAAACACGGCTCCCTCCCATTCCCCTCCCCACCCCAGCCCACATCATCTTCCCTTCCCTGTCTCGAATCCGTTGTCCTTTCTTGGTGGAGTCTCCACTACAGTAACGTGGATGGTCCAAAATTTTCACCATACACCTGAAGCCCGACATTGGAACACACTGTTTGCGAGTCGTGCTGGATGTATTTGGACAAGAATGTCTATCAGGGAGGGGCCGATTGGGACTGACTCGAGCACGGCATTTTGTGGACACCAGGTATATGTATTGCATGCCAAGCAAGCAGTGCTTGACAAATGGGCAACTGCCAGAGCGTAGACTCCACGTTGGATCTGCGCCATAAAACGGCTGTTACAGTATCCATGGAAGGGTTCCATCCACGGCCTTGATAAAGCGACCCTCGGACCCACAGCTTTTCGCATCCTCATTTTTCCGATCATCCTCATTTCCGGATACTCGGTCAGGCTTAGCTCCTCGCACAGCCTCCGGTCGCCGTCAAAACACGCACCCATGCACGCGCCTCGCACAGCTCCGCGCACGATGCGTCTTTTCGCAATGCTGCTCGTCGCGAGCGTGCTTCTCGCGCCGAGCCCGCAGTCACTGAGGGGCGTCGAAGCGCGGAAACGCCGTGCCGTGGCGCCGGCAACGAAGACGACTGGCATTCCGCAATGGGAGCTCTTAGCGGCCCTCAAGGACCTCAATAAGACGTACAGCTTCTTCACCGTCTTCGCCGAAAGATACTATACCGCGGGTGGGTTTGACCACTTCCAGTTTTTTGTTGTTGTTTTTCTTCCGCTTCCGGAAACTCGGAAAAGCGTAGTTCTCGAGCCGCGCTTGTTATTGCGCGTTTTTCGGCGCAAAAGCGTTGATTTTCGCGCATTGGCGGAGGGGAGGAAAGTATATCGTGACTTGCTGCGACGTCGCATTGACCTAATCCATTCCCGCCATTTTTTTCTCGTGTGCCCGCAGCCAGGTACAAGCTAATCACGCTCGATGGCCCTTCCACCATTCTCATTCCGTCCAACATCGGCAACCAGTTTATGAAAAAGAAGTGGGAAGCGTACACCCCGCAGCAGCGTCTTCGCATCATGAAGAATCTGATAATAAAGGGGCTGTTCAGCAAGGACCGGCTGCTTTCGACTGTGCCGATGTGGCAGTTCCGCACCATGAACATGGGTCTGAAGCTGGTCAAGATGAACAAATTCGCACTAAGGCAATGCTACTTCAAGGCTCCTGGAGGGACATCGTATGGGCCGCTGAACCAGGCAAATATGAGCCGGACGAAGAACATTCAGGTGCACGGCATCTCTCTAGTTCCGATCCCCGCGAATGTCTGGTGAGCCCGGGCTAACGGATACCGCAGGGTTCACGGTGACTGGCTTAAGATGTTTGGGGTGGGGAAGAATAATGAACAGGAAGAGAGGGGGGAGGGGGGGGGGAGGGGGCATGGAGAAGAGGGTTTGTGGTTGTTTTGTTGACACAAAAATGGTGTGTGTTGATGCTTTAGGGGTGGTTGTAAACTTCTTGTTTGTGCTGGTTGCTAACTAGTTGAGTTGCCATTGCTGAGTTGAAAGCGCGGGCCCTGATGCAAACACTGCTAACACCTCTATGAGTTCGCCTGGATTATTTTGACATGTGCTCCGCATTGTTCTGTCCAATCCATAGACCTAATGCTCTTAGGAAAACACGGAAACGTTTGCCAAGGTGTATTCCAATACAGGTGGGTTATGCTGCTCGAAAGTGTAAGGAAATTACCGTACATCCCTTACTGAGTCTACGCTAGCGCGTACACCCGAACTCCTCATTTGTCGCGTCCGGCACTGTCGCCACATTGCCGAACCTACCCATGTTCCGAGGTTATTGTCAAACATGTGTAGTTATCATGTTTGTATAGACTGTATAGGGTCACCTTCTAGAGAGTACAACATTTAGGTATATGTTTGTGTACTCTCTCTCTCTTATCATTCAATTCTCTTTCTGTTATGGTATCACGCGTAGGTAGGATCCCCCCCCCCCCCCAAAGCTTCCGCTCGCCCCCTCGCTGGGCCCCGTCGTGCTCCTAGCCCCGTCGTGACCCTCCCTAGACCCGTCGCGCCCCTATCCTAGACCCGTCGCGCCCCTCCCTGGGCCCCGTCGCGCCCCTCCCTGGGCCCCCCCCCCCGTAGCGCCCCTCCTGGGCCCCGTCGTGCTCCTACGCCCCGTCGCGACCGTCCCTAGCCCCGTCGCGCCCCCTTTTCCCTAGACCCGTCACGCCCCCTCCCTGGGCCCTGTCGCGCCCCTCCCTGGGCCCCGTACCGCCCCCCCTGGGCCCCCCCATTGCGCCCCTCCTAGGCCCGTAGTGCCCCTCCTGGGCCCGTTAGCGGCCCCTCCTGGGCCCCCCCATTGCGCCCCTCCTGGCCTCGCCGCGCCCCTCCTGGGCCCCATTTGCGCCCCTCCTGGGCCCGTAGCGCCCTCCTGGGCCTGTTGCGCCCCTCCTGGGCCCTGCCGCGCTCCCTCCTGGGCCCGTCGCGCCCTCCTGGGCCCCTTCGCGCCCCTCCAGGGCCCCTGTCGTGCCCCTCCTGGGCCCCGTCGAGCCCCTCCTGGGCCCCGTCGCCCCTGCTCGGCCCCGTCGCCCCTGCTCGGCCCCGTCGCCCTGCTCGGCCCCGTCGCCCCTGCTCGGCCCCGTCGCCCCCAGCTCGGCCCTGTCGCGGCCTCTCGGCCCCGTGGCGCCCGCCCGGCCCCTGTCGCAGCTGCCGGCCCCTGTCGCCCCCCCCGGCCCTGCTGTGTCCTGCCCCGGCCCCGTCGCTGCCGCCCGGCCTTGTCGCTGCGCCCGGCCCGTCGCAGCCGCCCGGCCCGTCGCAGCCGCCCGGCCCCGTAGCAGCCGCCCGGCCCTCGTCGCGCCTGCCCGGCCCCGTCGCGCCTGCCCGGCCTCGTCGTGCCTGCCCGGCCCCGTCGCGCCTGCCCGGCCCCGTCGCGCCTGCCCGGTCCCGTCGCGCCTGCCCCGGCCCTCCATACTTCCTGGTACTGTCCCCCGTTCCCCGCACCACTTTGCACCCTCCCGCACTTTCCTGCCCTGACCCCCCTGCTGTGCTGCCCGCTGATCCCACGCCCGCTGAGCGCGAGTCCACTGCCGCCGCTGCCCTTGCCCGCTCTGTCTGGCTTTCCCGCGATGCCCTTGCTCAGCTCGCCATTAGCAATGCCCTCCCCCCCCTGAGCGCCCTCGCTTTAGAACCATTACTACCGCCCAGGCCTACCTCGATGCTGTCATCAAGCGCTATTCTACCCCTCCTGCTGCCTCAGTGGGTCGCCTGATCCTCCCCCTGCTCTTTCCTGACCTGGCGTCTTTCCCCACTGTCTCTGACCTCGCTGCCCACATGCGCTCGATAGATGAGGCCTGGCGCGCTGCCTGCACTGATGCACAGCTTAGAGTCCACCAGCCTCCCATGACCTCTACCCTCTACCTCCTTGCCACCCGCCTCCCTGACCGCCTTGCCGCCGCCCGCGACCAGTTCCTTAGCATCCACCCTGCTGCTCTCACCCTCACCGACTTTGTTGACACCCTGACTGCCATAGAGACTCGTCACCGCTCCATAGCCCAGGCGAGCGGTACAGTACCGGTCCCTATCTTTCAGGGTTGTGCCCCGCTCAGTGTACCTTCTCCGACGGCTCTGTCGCTGTGGCTGAGACTGCTGCTGCAGTGCAGTCCCGCTCGGGGAAGGGCCGCCGCCCCAAGGTTGGGAGCGGCGGAGGCGGCGGGGGTGCGGGTGGGGGTTAGTGGTGGAGGCGGGTCGTCCGGTGCCGGTGCGGACGTGGGGACCCTGCCCGGTCCAGCTGCCCCCGCTGCCTCCACCGTTGCAGCAGCAGCAGCAGCAGCAGTCGCCGCAGCCGCAGCCTCCGCAGCAGCCGCAGCAGCCGCCGCAGACGAGGCCGGCGAGTGCTCTCCCGCCTGGGTGGCCTGGAGCTGGTGGTGGTCGTGCGCGTGGTGGTGCACCGGGTGGTGGTTCTGGAGGCGGGCCCTGTCAGTACCAGATCCAGACCGGTCCTCGCCGCGGTTTCGTTTGCGGTAAGATCGGTCATTCCACTCCTCGCTGTTTTCGTCGTCTGGACGACCTGTTCCGCCAGCGCTTTGGGCCCGGCGCCCGACCTCCCGGACTGGCACAGCTTGCTTAGGCGTAGCATTCGGATTTTTTGACTTGGACATGGATGCCATTGTAGCAGCCTTGCATGTGATGTTATGCCGATGACTCTAGTGTGCTTCCCTCTTATTACCCCGTGTTGCCTAGTGTAGCTGTGCCTAGCGTAGACTCCCCTGCTGCGTCAGGCGTAGGATCTCCTGCTTTGCTTAGCCTCGGTGCTTCCACCGCTTCACTGTCGCCCCGCGCGACTGCTGCGCTTTCCTTCACCTTGGACTCTGGTGCCTTCCCGGTGTTTCTTCCGCGACTCCACGACGCTGACGCCGCTGCCTGTTCCCGCCGCAGTTACTCTTGCTGACCCCTCCGGTGGTCCCGTCGTTGCCCGCAGTTCCACCTCCCTTCCCTGTCCGGCGGTTCCTTCAGGTTCGCTCACCGGTCTGCATATCCCCTCGTTCTCCAGGAACCTAGTTGGTGTCGGCTGCCTCCAGGACCTTGGCGTCACCACTACGTTCCCTGGTCACGAGCGGTATGCTGTCTGTACCGAGGCCGCCACTGGTGCCCCCCTTACCACTTTCCCCCGGGACCCGGTGTCCGGCCTGTTCACACTTGACACCGCGACGTCCCCGGCTGGGTCTTCCCCCAGGTAGCTGCGTCCACCCAGGTTGCTGCTGCGTGCTCCTGTCGGTCCCTCACTCATCCGACTCTCCTTTGGCACCACCGCCTTGGTCACCCTGCACTCCCGCGTCTGCGTCACATGTCCCAGCACGGTCTCGTCCTTGGTCTCCCCGGTTCGTTCCCTGAGTTTCCCTCCTCCCCGCCCCACCGTGCACGCCCTGTGTCGAGGGCCGGCTCCGCCGCGCCCCTCACTCCTCCTCTTTTCCCCCTACCACCGCACCACTGCAGACTCTGCACATGGACATCTGGGGCCCAGCCCCGGTCCATGGGCCGCGTCGCGAGCGCTTCTTCCTAGTGCTTGTCGACGACTTCACGCGCTACACCACAGTCTTTCCCCTGGAGCGGAAGGCCGACGTGCCTGACGCTCTCATCCCCTGGCTTGTCTCTGCTCGTCTCCACCGCGGTCTCCCTGCCTTGCGCCTCCACTCCGACCGGGGTGGCGAGTTCGCCTCAGGTGTCCTTGGTCGCTTCTGTCGTGCGGAGGGCATCACCCAGACGTTTACCCTGCCGGACTCCCCGCAGCAGAATGGGGTCGCTGAGCGACGCATCGGTTTGGTCATGGAGGTGGCTCGCACCTCCATGATCCACGCCGGTGCACCCCATTTTCTGTGGCCGTTCGCAGTGCGCTACGCCGCTCACCAGCTTAACCTGTGGCCGCACCCCCAGCGGCCGCAGGTTTCGCCGACCCTTCTGTGGACCGGGTCCCCTGGTGACGCGTCTGCGTTCCACGTCTGGGGCTGCCTTGCTCACGTTCGTGCCTCTGGCACGGACAAGCTCACTGCCCGCACCCTCCCCTGCGTCTTCCTCGGTTTCCCCCTTGACGCGTCCGACTGGCACTTCTACCACCCGCCGTCTCACCGTTTCTTTCACTCTCGCGACGTCACCTTTGACGAGTCCGTCTCCTTCTACCGCCGCTTCCCCACCGTGGTCCCCCGGTTACTCCCCCCTGTTCCTGGTTCCTCCCTCCCTGGTGGCCCCTGCCCCCCCCCCCCCCCCGCCCCCCGTCCGGCCCCCTCTGGTGTGTCTCACGTCACCCCCTCCGTCGGTCGTTCCGGTCGACGAGTCTTCTGCCTCTGGTAGTCCTTTGGCGCAGTCCTCGCCGTCTGTCCCTCCCCCGGTGTCTCCTCCTCCACCGCGTCCGCAGCCGCCGTCGCCGCGGCTGCTGCTGCCGTCGTCTCCACCGCCGCCGCCGTTGCAGCCGTCGTCTCCGCTGCCGCCGCCGTCGCAGCCGTCGCTGCAGCCGCCGCCGCCGCCGCCGCTGTCGTCGCTGCCGCCGTTTTGTGGACTCTGGGGGTGCTGGCGTTGAGGTGGGTACTAGTCCCGAGGCTCCAGTCGTGGCTTGTCCCGGCGGGCCTGGGGGTGGTACCGGTGCTGGTGGGGATTCGGGCTCTGGGGGTGTCCCTTCTGGGGGTGCAGGTGTGGAGGGTTCGGGAGGTAGCCGTCGCGCAGCTTGTGGCTCTGGTGTTGGTGTTGTGTCGCCGCAGCAGCAGTCCCCGCCGGTGTCCGCCCTCCGTCTGCTCGGCCTTCCGTCCCCTGACCCTGCGCCTGTTCCTCTCCGGCCGTCTCCCCCTCTTCCCGTCTACGGCCCCGTGTTCCCTCCGCCGGACTCGTCCCCGGCTCGTTTTCCCCCTCGTTCCCCACCCGTGTCCCCTCCTCTGTCTCCTGACCCGACGCCGCCCTCTCACGTCTGGTCTCGCGCCCCTCCCGTGCTCGTCCTGTCTCCCCCGTCCCGCGCACTCACCCTATGTTGCTCCGCTCCCACGTGTCCCGTCCTCCCCTCCTCCCGTCTCCTCCTCCGTCTTCTCTTGTCGTTGCGTCTCCTCCTCTGTCTGACTACTTTCGTGCCGCTCGTCCTCTTGTTCCTCGGGTCCTTGCCTCTCTCGTTACCGACCCGTCTGTTCCAGTGTC